CGAGAAGCTTCGTATCGAATATGAAACTATAATTCCTCAAATATATAATAGAATATTCCAATTTGAGGATTCTATTAATAGAATTCATAAATGTTTTTAATAATTAATTGGTGTGAGTATTTGATAATGAACACTTATATTCGTAATATGTTAGACAACACAAGATGTGATGTTATTATGAAATAAACCACTTATTAGGAGGGATTAAAAAAAATTAAATTCGAAACGTTACGTCTACAAAATGTGTATGTATTCTCAAATAAATTAAAAAAAAATAACACATATTTTTTAAAACCAAATGGACCCTTAGTCTCTTGCTTCTGTTATGAACTTTACAAAATGCTAAGCTAAAATTGCATCTTTTTGCCGTTGAAAAGAACCGGGGATTTTGATACTTTGGAGAGCAGTCACCATCTCTACTGTCTCATTCATGGGGTGATAAAATGATTCCTCGCACTCTTGTTTTCATGGTTTTGTTGTTCCAATTCAAAGCTTTATCTGAAACGATTCTCTACATGTCACGGCAACCTTTATCAGCATATAAAATCTCCTTTCTTTGAGATTTGTTGTCTGATGATCTAATCTTAATTACGTAGCTCCCATCTTCTTAGTGAAGTAAACAGCAACCGTGAAGATGAATCTATACTTATCACAAATTTGTAGTGGGACGAGTTATTAAATTTTTTAAGATTAAAGATTTAAATTAGGGATGGGCAAGTGATCCGAATTCAACGGATTCTGACCCGATCCGATTCAATTGAGATTGATTTTTATATAAAAAAATTGGATTCGGGTTGGATTCAGATTCAGTTCGGGTTTAGGTCGAGTTAACTTCAGTTCGGATCGATATCAATTCAGGTTAAAACGATTTAGGTCTGAAACAGTTAAATACTAGGTTAATTCAGGTCCGGATAGACTTCAGGTCGTATCTCGTTCAGATCGGATCACATCATTGACAAACAAAAATCAGGTCGGATCTTACCGGATACGTATTGAATTCAGGTTGGGTATTTTTTTTGCAGGAAAATGTTGATGGGGCTGTTGAGCAGGAAATTGAAGCTGTTGAAGGGCAACGTCGAGGCTCGCGGGAGAAGAAGGTGCCAGCTAGGCTAACTGATTTTGTCAGATTCTAGAAGCCATGGAATATAAATAATGTATTGTGCAGTGCACTGATTTTGTCTCGTTCAAGTACGTACGTACGTACGTACGTATGTATGTATGTATGTATGTACGTATGTACGTATGTACGTATGTACGTATGTACGTATGTACGTACATACATATGTATGTATGTACGTATGTACGTAGGTACGTACATACATATGTATGTATATACGTACATACATATATACGTATGTACGTACATACATATGTACGTATGTACGTACATACGTATATATATGTATGTATGTATGTATGTATGTATGTATGTATGTATGTATGTATGTATGTATGTATGTATGTATGTATGTATGTATGTATGTATGTATGTATGTATGTATGTATGTATGTATGTATGTATGTATGTATGTATGTATGTATGTATGTATGTATGTATGTATGTATGTATGTATGTATGTATGTATGTATGTATGTATGTATGTATGTATGTATGTATGTATGTATGTATGTATGTATGTATGTATGTATGTATGTATGTATGTATGTATGTATGTATGTATGTATGTATGTATGTATGTATGTATGTATGTATGTATGTATGTATGTATGTATGTATGTATGTATGTATGTATGTATGTATGTATGTATGTATGTATGTATGTATGTATGTATGTATGTATGTATGTATGTATGTATGTATGTATGTATGTATGTATGTATGTATGTATGTATGTATGTATGTATGTATGTATGTATGTATGTATGTATGTATGTATGTGTATGTATGTATGTATGTATGTATGTATGTATGTATGTATGTATGTATGTATGTATGTATGTATGTATGTATGTATGTATGTATGTATGTATGTATGTATGTATGTATGTATGTATGTATGTATGTATGTATGTATGTATGTATGTGTATGTATGTATGTATGTATGTATGTATGTATGTATGTATGTATGTATGTATGTATGTATGTATGTATGTATGTATGTATGTATGTATGTATGTATGTATGTATGTATGTATGTATGTATGTATGTATGTATGTATGTATGTATGTATGTATGTATGTATGTATGTATGTATGTATGTATGTATGTATGTATGTATGTATGTATGTATGTATGTATGTATGTATGTATGTATGTATGTATGTATGTATGTATGTATGTATGTATGTATGTATGTATGTATGTATATGTATGTATGTATGTATGTATGTATGTATGTATGTATGTATGTATGTATGTATGTATGTATGTATGTATGTATGTATGTATGTATGTATGTATGTATGTATGTATGTATGTATGTATGTATGTATGTATGTATGTATGTATGTATGTATGTATGTATGTATGTATGTATGTATGTATGTATGTATGTATGTATGTATGTATGTATGTATGTATGTATGTATGTATGTATGTATGTATGTATGTATGTATGTATGTATGTATGTATGTATGTATGTATGTATGTATGTATGTATGTATGTATGTATGTATGTATGTATGTATGTATGTATGTATGTATGTATGTATGTATGTATGTATGTATGTATGTATGTATGTATGTATGTATGTATGTATGTATGTATGTATGTATGTATGTATGTATGTATGTATGTATGTATGTATGTATGTATGTATGTATGTATGTATGTATGTATGTATGTATGTATGTATGTATGTATGTATGTATGTATGTATGTATGTATGTATGTATGTATGTATGTATGTATGTATGTATGTATGTATGTATGTATGTATGTATGTATGTATGTATGTATGTATGTATGTATGTATGTATGTATGTATGTATGTATGTATGTAGTATGTATGTATGTATGTATGTATGTATGTATGTATGTATGTATGTATGTATGTATGTATGTATGTATGTATGTATGTATGTATGTATGTATGTATGTATGTATGTATGTATGTATGTATGTGTATGTATGTATGTATGTATGTATGTATGTATGTATGTATGTATGTATGTATGTATGTATGTATGTGTATGTATGTATGTATGTATGTATGTATGTATGTATGTATGTATGTATGTATGTACGTATGTATGTACGTATGTATGTATGTATGTATGTATGCTGTTATTAAATTTTGTTGACCATAACCTAAAAATTAAGAAATGGTTAATCACTAACGATTAAATGTTATTAACGGTTCGGTTATAGGATAACATATGGTTAATCTATTACATTTTTTTCCAATCATAACACAACTTAAAATTTTCAAAATTTTATAAATGTATGCTGTTATTAAATTTTGTTGACCATAACCTAAAAATTAAGAAATGGTTAATCACTAACGATTAAATGTTATTAACGGTTCGGTTATAGGATAACATATGGTTAATCTATTACATTTTTTTTCAATCATAACACAACTTAAAATTTTCAAAATTTTATAAAATTCACGACGATAAAAACATATATATTTGTAAACAATTTATTTATTTTCAAATACATTTTATTTAATAAAAATATACATATTATGAGGTAAATTTTTTTTTCAATTTATAATCTTACATGTATATTTATATTTTGTAATTTAACACTATATATTTCTTCCATCTATGTTTGATTTAATGTGTTCTTTTATAAGATAAATATGGTAACTAAAAGATAGGATGAACCATTTGATTTAATATATTACATACATATATAAATACATAGATGATACATACATACATACATATATACATACATATGTACGTACGTGTGTATATATATATATATGCATATGCCAATACATTTATAGATAGATAACACTAGTGACCAATTCATTACTTTTAAAACTTTAGTGAAGAAAACAAAAATTTACTCAAATTTTAAAGACCATTTGCATAGTTTACCAAGAAAAATTAATTTTACTATATTAAATTCAAAATGAAAATGAAAAAATTTCGCTCTCAAAAAAATTATTTTTGAATGCCGCTCATTCCTCCCTCTTTTTCTCATTTCCATTGTGCTTCTAACCTACAAATAAGAAATATAATAATTTAATTTTTAATTAATAAAATTAATAATTAATAGATAAATTATTTAATAAAATTAATTTATTTTTTATAATTAAATTTATATAAAATAGTCATAATTAATATAAAAATTAAATTTAAAAATTTTAATTAATAATTTGTCCTAAAAAATTTTAAAAATATTTTTATTAACTTTATTAATCTCAAGTTAATTATTTAATAAAACTTTTGAATATATTTACAAACTAAAATGTATAAATATAAAATATACATATTAATTTAATGATTATAATTAATCATGTACCTTAAATTATGAAGATGCATTTTGTAACATTTTAATATCATATATTCATAATTTCACAACTTAGTCAATTGTCAAGTAAATATCATATCCGTTTAATAACAAGTCGGATCATTTACATGTTGAGTAAATTATAGTCAGGTTCATAACAGGTCAGGTTGATAACAGGTTGAATAATACCAGTTATTTACCATGTAAATTTGGGTTCGGGTTCATATCTCTCGGATGCATGTCATGTTCATTTATCATATTATCAATTTAATTTTGGTTCAGATCCACAATTTCTAGGTCCACTCGAGTTCAGGTCAACACCAATTCGGACTCAAATTGATTTCGAATTGCCACAACCTCATATCACAAATAATTAACTCAAGCCTATTTCAATCAGTTTTGTAGGTCGGGTGAGTGCCAATGTAATTTGATTCTTTTGAAAAGTAGGTTCTTGTGCCAATTTAGTCAAGTTATCCCTCTTCGATGATGCTAAGTTACACATCCAATGTGGATGCTTGACACGATTATTGTTAGATAAAAGTAAAAATAAAAATATTGTAGACACTGAATTTTAATACAAAACCCAACAAAAATATATTACAATATATTACATGTATGGAGTACAACCTGGTGGCTCACGGCGGTCCCCGTCTTGCAATACACGGCGAAGTGCTCGCAATTGTTTGAGATCATGTCGTACGGGGCAAACCCTTTTTCGAGGTAATTGACGGCAGTCGCGATAACTTCATGGGGAGGTTTGGACGGGATACTAGAGCAGGTGCCGAGTTTTCTGTTAGCGAATTCAATAAAAGGAATTCCATAGTCATAGATTTGAACTGTTTCTCCTTCGAGGAAACAGTCGATGCATACTTTTTCTATTTCACCATTGATGAATCGCTTGTTTCCACATTTGTTGCATGGAGATGGAGCGCTAAGTTTCTTTCCTTTTCCTTGGAGATGAATCACCATGTCGTCGCCCACATATATTCCTGCAGGAATTAGTCTTAAACATCCAAATGTATGTATATATATATATTGATGGTAACCATGTATGTTATGTCGATCCAAAATGATTCATTTCTTATAGTTTAGGCGAAGAATCATAGGTTGTTATGGTTATCTGGCTTTTAGAAATCTAAAAAGCATTATGTTAAAAAAATTGTCCCTAATGTCTGTACATTGATGCATTTCTGATTTAACATAAGTTCAGTCTCCTTCCTAGTTCTATATGGGATCTTCTACGGAGGAATATCTCTGTCCTGATTCTGCATAGGATCCTTTACGGAGGGCATAATCCTCGTCCTAATTCTGCATAGAATCCTCTATGGAGGGCACAATCCTCGTCTTAATTTTGCATGGGACTATGTTCCTCATCCTGATTTTGTATGAGATGATATTCATGTCCTGATTCTGCATGGGATTATGTTTCCCGATCTGATTCAAAATTCTATTTGGGATCCTCTTCGGAGAGGTAGATCTCCATCATGATTTCTGCATTCTGACTTGTGTACCTCTTCAGAGGGTAACGTCCCACCCTGTATTCTGATGTATTCAGAAGGTAAAATTGTGTGTTATGGATGTTGCATTCTGATGTATAAACCCTAATGTTACTATTTGTGTTGTTATATATATATATTTTTATATATATTTACTGTATAGTATACACTGAGCTTTTTAGTTCACTCTGTTTCTGCTTTTCTTTTTCTAGATTATTCGGTTACAAGACCAGTTTGAATATTAGAGGTGTGGTTTAAATTTCTTATTGTGTGAAGTTAATTATTTATTTTCAACCTCTTTATCTATAGCATGATTTTATAATTAGTAAATGTTTTTAAAAGGATTTATTAAATAGATTTCGCTCGTAAAATGTTTCTGTGATAAACGAGACTATCTTGATTCAGTTGTAACTCTTAAGCCGGGTCTAGAGGGTTACATAAAAATAGTTGTTAGATAATATATATGACTTTGATATACTATATAGACCATCAGAAATCATGTTAAGAGATTGTTAATTGTCTAGAGAATGTAACTTTTCAAAGGCTTTGAAGAACTCTGAAATTTTCCTTTGGAAATTTTTTCCCGAAAGTTTCAACGGTCGATGGATAAAGAGTGATAGCGAGAGTATTGCCTTTGAAGAGGATATGGAGTAAGTACAACAATTAAGTATATTGATTAAATAGAAAAGAACGAGAAACAAACCATGGTGATCGTATAGACCCCCCATTCTTTGACAATATATGTGGTCGCCTGCTTCGAGATGCCTATACGGCTGTGCCATATCTAAAATTATATTATTTTATGTGAACTTTTGTTTAACTGGTGCTTTTAGCATTAAACTCAAGATGAATTTATAGTAGTTGTGGGTAGAAGAAGTAACAATGCCAATGGAATTTGATTCTTTTGGAAAGTAGGTGGAGTGCCAATTTAGTCAAATTATCCTTCTTCGATTATGCTAAACTACGCATCCAATGTGGATGCTCGATACGATTATTGTTAGATAAAAGTAAAAGTAAAAATAATGTATACACCGAATTTTAATTCAAAACTCAAAAAAAAAAAATTAGGTTTAACGGTTACTCTTGTCTCTATAGTAGACTTTATCATTTTTGTCCATATGATATTTTCACATCAATTTAGTCTTTGAAAATGTTAAATTATATCATTGTTTAAAATATTTGTCATTGCTTAGATTTAGGGTTTAGGGTTTATAACATCCCAAACTATAGACTAGTAGTTTCGGGTTTACCCGATAGATAAGTGGACCTTGTGGAATTAATAATTCAAATCATTGGGCTTAATTGGGTTGAAATTAGGCCCAATTAACCATAAAAAAGGATTTTTGGATAGTAAAACAAAAGAGGAATGATCAAAATATGCAATTTCACCCTTTAAGAGATGAAGACTTTTATATCTATTTCATCTCATTCTTCTCTTCATTTCTTCCTTCTTTCTCATTTCCTTCTCCCATTTTTCTCTCCAAGTTTCCATAACACAAAAGTAAGTTCTTGAGCCCCTTTCTTGCTTCAATTTCATTCCTTTTCCTTGCAGCAACATCATTTTAATGAACCAAAACCTTGGGTTCTTGCTAGCTAAAGAGAAAGTGTGGTTTTTCATCCAAATCATAGAGAGAGTGAGTTTGGCTAAGCAATGAGTTTCATTTCGGGATCCTAAAATTAAAGTAATGTATTTTTAATCCTTTACGGTGTTAAGGATTTCTTAAACATGATAATTTGCTAGGATTTGAGTATTTGAGCTTTTAGGATTTCAAGCTTAATTTAAGCCATAGATGATGAATTTGATGTGAAGCATGCATTTTTTGACACTTTATAACCTTAAATAACTCCCTAGAGTTTCAGCGGACGATTAGAAACCAATCTATGGCCTTTAGAGTGATTTTAGGTGTTTTCTCGAGCCTAAATAAATCATTTATGGTTTTGAATATTGTTATTGGGATGAATACTATCAATATTGGTTGAATTTAGGCAAAAATTAGGGATTTTATTTGGGAGTATCGATACTGTTGTGGAGAGTATCGATACTGCCCCTATAGTATCGATACTTAAGGTGTACAGTATCGATACTCGGCTATTTTTTAGGACATCGAAGCTATTCTTTTATTGATACTCATAGGGATATAGATATTTGACCCTACGGTATCGATAATGCAAGTAGAGTATCGATACTACACACTTTGGATGGTTACAGAGGATGTGCCTATGAACAGTATGACGAGATAACCAGATTATGAAAGAGCGAAGTTGCGTATAGCAAGAATGTCAGTGATGGTGAACGTACAGTTGTTCCTCCAATTCGAGGGTGAATTGAAGAAAAGAGTAGTAAGAGCGATTAGGCAGTCGGTATCCAATATTAAACCCGAGCCAGTTATTGAGCCAATATTAAACCCGAGCCAGTTATTGAGCCAACTAGTGTTGCATACAACTAACAATCGACATTCCTTAGAAAATGTTCATCATTTTTCTTAATAAAATAATAATTATTCATCACCTCAAATCAACATATAAAATATACAATAGTTCATCTTTTCCTTTCTAATATGTGAGTAATGCATTCTACCAACATCACTGGTTAAAACATCAAAGAATGTCTAAAAGTATAGGGTAAATTACAAATTTATAATTGAATTTTACTCTTTTTTTACTCATTGTACTTTAAATCTATTCAATTTTTATTGAACTTAATACATTGGATTTTTTGTCACTCAGGCGTTAAATAGTTAACGACGTAAAATGGACTGATATATAAATGCAAACGACGTCGTTTTAGTGAATTTTTTTTAGAGGGTGTTGTTTTTAATGTTGTTAACTATAAATGAAGCGTTCAGTGATAAAATTTGTAATTTGCCCAAAAAAATAAGTTTAGCACAAGGGTTATTTTTTCCATGCAGTTCATCTTTCTTTTCTAATGTGTGACTAGTTTATTTTACCAACATCACTGATTGAAACATCAGAAAACATCTTAAAATATAAATTTCGATAACTTTTATCTCGGGTTTAAGGTGATTATAAGATAATAAAAAGCATATAGTTAAAAGAAAAAAAAATAGAACCAATAAATGGGAACAAAAGAGGAACAAGATGGGGATATGCAGACCTAAAAGTAGAGTGGATCATGGAAATCAGAAGGAAAAGAAAATTGAGGATTTCACTTCAGCTGTTGTATGTTTGACCAAACTGCCTGTAACAAGAAGCAGCCAACAACATGTTTCCAAACGAGACCAAATCTGGCATAATTACCATAGGAAAACACCACTGTTTCCCATTCAAAGCTTCTTGCCCCATTGGGAGAAAGAAAAATGCTACTAAGGAGCTCCATACGTGGAATCATATGCACCATGCATCACGAATGAATAGAGGGGACCGGGCAGTCGCCTCTTTGAAAATCTAAAACCATAATATATTTTAGTTTTTTTCTATGTATTTTCTATTGAAAATATATTTTTGCCCCTGTAATTTTATAAGTTTAAGTTCGTCCCCTTGAAATTTTAAAAGTTTAAGTTCGCCCGCCTACCATAAAATCCAACATGTGTTCCTTCCATGCATACACCGCAATCCCTATTGTAATAATTAATCTCACAAATAATTTCGAATTCGAGTAATAATGATCTCGAAGCTGAAGATGGAGTTAGAATACCAATTCTAGGAAGATAAAATATATCATACATTATTCAAACTAACATTTTACATCTAAGTTGGCTTGGTAATTATACACTAGTGTATGTTTATAATCTTTTAGTCATTGACAACATACATATGCCATGTAGACGTAATTATTCGAACTTGAGGGCTCTAAAAAGAATAGGGTAAAGTACACAAATGGTCCCCTAACTAGAGGGTATTGTTTTGTTAAGTTTCTCGACTGTTAAAAGTTACAAAATGATCACTTGACTATTCATTATGTTCCAAACTCATCCTTTTTAGTTAAAAAAATTGATAGTTATCTAATGAATTATCTAATGCCTAAGTTGATTGTTGAACTAAGGGTGAATAGTAATTAAAATATCCAAATCAAAATAAAATTTAGAAAAGCTAGAGATATGTCTGCAAATATTTAAATTTACATTATCTATTGTCACCTTCACTTTTTTACTATTGATTGATGATCAATTTAACATTGATTTATAATTAACCTAAATTTAAATTAACTATTTTTCTGATAAATTATAAATCTAGAAAGGACAGGAAGAAAGAAGAACGTATCTAGAAATCATAACTTACGAGAATATGAGAAAATAAATATAAGTAATTTTACTAACTGACTAAATATATTTACACACTTGTTTATTACTGATATTCATATCAATATCGAATTAACAAATGTCTGATTTAAACTCGTTAATCAACTATTAGTTAACGATGACCGATAATGACATAATTGGATAATTATATCATACGTGATAACGCTTATATAACATGTATGCCATGTGATAAATTCCGATAAATTAAAAATTATTCTTTCATTTTGAACAATTGTAGAAATCAAAACAAAATTTAGGGTTTGAGCCCACAAAGTTTAATGATGGAGGAGTCGTTTTAAGAAGTGGATTATCATATATAGTGATGGTAACGGGTCGGGTTAGGGTATTTTTGGTCAATATGACCCTATTCGAAAGTATGTATATTTCATTGGAAATCGACTCGACTCAAAAATTTTATATCTTTCATCCAACCCGAAAAATATATATTTTTCATTCGACTCTGGCCCGGTCTGAATTTGTAAAGTATAAATCATATACGACTCAATACAGTATAAAATAAGGACTCGATTGAAAAAAAATAATTTTTTAAGAAAATTATTATTATCTTCATGTCAGATCATGTCAAAATTTTCTTCACTCACCACCCGAACTTGACCCGACCCAATCTCACCTCTTAAAAATCTTGCTCGACCTGACCCAAACTCAAATTAATTTTTTTTAAATATTGACCCTATTAGATCGAATCGAGTTGAAATACTTTAGATTATGGTTAAATTTTCGTCCCTTATCATATAAGCCATGTTATAAAGAAGGGACATGGAGTGACAATATATAGAGTAAGCTACATGTTTAATATTTAAACTATTACTTTTGTTTCATATTAGTACCTAAACTTTTAAGATTTTCAAAATCATACTTAGCGTTTACTTTTTATTTCATTTTAATACCCGCAGTTAACTTTTTGTTTTGTTTTAGTACCTAAATTTTTAACTACGGGGTATTAAAATGAAATGAAAAACTAAATGTTATGCATGATATTAAAAAAGTTAAAAATTTATGTACTAAAACGGAATAAAAGTGATAATTTATGTACTAAATGGATAGTTTAGCCTAATATATAAGAAAGATAACTACAGTAAGTAGGTGGGAGGGTAAAAACACAGAATGGGGACACATGCACAACCTGAAACAATAACAAAAACTCTTTAAAAGAAAGAGAGAGAAATGGAAAGAGATGGTACCAAATTTGCAGAGAAAAAGGAGGAAGGGTCATGTCACACCGACCCCAAAAATCTCTGATAACTCTCAGTAATAATAAGCATCAAAATGCAAACAGCTCATTGTTAGACCTCTCAAAAATTATAGTCCATGATTCGAATAATTGATTTTATTTGACTTGATGTATGAATCCTAACTATAAAATAATATTTGAATAGTTTAAAAATTTTAGTAATAAAAAAGAACTCGAATTGACTTAAGAAAAATCGATCTTTTCTACTCGAATTGATTTTACTCGATTCGAAAAAAATCAA